GAAATCCAGGGTTTTGGCCTGAATCCAGTCGGGCCTGCAAAATGGCCGTCGGGCCTGCAAAATGGCCCGTGTGTGCACGCGCTGCATGTAACAGCCATCTTCCCTGGGATGTCAAAGCCCTCCTCCTGGGAGACACCTCGCAACACTCCACCCACTGGACCGCCTTTACGATGAACCTCATCAAGTACACCAGACCAGCAGTGCTCATGGCATCCCGAAGAATGCGCTGTTCATTTCAGAGAAAACAACACACCTATGACAACACACATGCCAGGGCAGCTATTGCAGAAACAATCACTGTTAAAACCCAGGCAGCACGGAAGGATCTTAGGGACATGCTTAAGAAAGAAACTGATGAGGCAAGAAGGGTTGAGTTGGCAAACAATTTTCGCACCGCATGGACGGACAGTAAGAAAAGACTTTTTGAACTTGACAAACAGTGCAACCTGCAACGGAGACCCTGGCTCACCATAGAGAGTCGGTGGGAAAGAAAGTGTAAAGAACATTTCCACATCCACTTCAGGCCAACTAACTACGTGTTAGTGCAAGGGGACCTGCCTCCAGCCACGCACCCCACACAAGCAGAATCCCCCCCGCACCCCGCATCCTATCCTTACCACCCCGCATCCTATCCTTACCACCGCACCTACAGGGCTCGGCCGCACATGGAGGACTCTCCCCGCCCCCCCACTTCTCTCCCCTCCCGTCACGCCACTATCCCGGGTCATTTTACTCGAAGACACCGTTTCAGGTTCGAAACTGCCGCTTGGTATTGGCATTTTGTCGATGTGGTTTGGCTATTTCTATTTGTATGTATTTATTGGTGGGGGGGTGTAATTAACACTTACTACCCCAAAACCCGGGGACACGTGCCAAACTTCAAGGGCTCGCAACAGTCGAGTTCCCAACCGAAGGCCGAAGGCGCCGTTTGAGTCTTTATCCCCCCAGTTGCTTTTGGATCGCCGGCCACAGATGGATCTCTCAACGACCAAACGGGTGTGGCTGAAAAGAGTGGAAGCAAAGAGACTGCAAGATGAGAACTGGCAGATGACCAGGAACGGTCGAAGATAGTGCGAGCAGGAAGTCCACATCGACGCAAATGGACTGAGGACCGTCAACTCTCAGCGGGACAGGGGTAGGGGAGTGGAGAGGGTGTGCCAGGCGATAACTCCTGGGCAATAGACGAGAGAAGGCAGCCAATCTTTTACAAAATAGCCTCCCCTTTTCGTGCAGACTTGCTTATGTGACAATAGAAACCTTCTTGTACTCCTTGCTTATGTGACCAAAGGGGCGCTGGACCCGGTTTCCAGCAGGTGTGCTCCCCACCAATAATTTGGAGCCTCCACGTCCAGGTCCCATATTAGCGGGGTGCTCTTATCACCTCCTAATGTGGATACCCCGTTGGAGTTTCGGGGGGGGGGGGGG